CCTATCTCTTGTATAAACTTGTTTATCATAACTACCTATCAATCAGTGTACATCAACCTTATCTGTTATATAAACATCTATCTATTGTTATGTATATATATCATGCTCATACCTAGTTTGTACATCATTTGCTTGATAACGGTGTTAAAATCTACACCGAAACGTCGCCCAATTGTAATAAAGAAGTTGCTCATCCATAACAATTTTGTCTTAGAGACTTGACATGCATAATTGTGAATCACAAAAAACAATATATAATCTCATTAAAATTTGATCTTAGTTCTTGCTACCGCTGAACAAAATCTCAGGACATCCCAGTACGGGTCATGTCAGCAGAGCGTCCGTCGCTTAACCAGATCGGGAAAGAGAGTCTGAATATGTTTTCTTATCATGCAACCTAGCAAATGTTAACACCGGGGTAACGAGGTACCGACAGTTACGGGCTGTACGACTCACCACTGATTCCGTCAAAATCATTGTCTATTTCTCGATGCAATAAACATTTGAAACGGAAGAGACTTTATATAGCCCGAGGGAAGTTGTGCCATGTAATCTCTATCCTCTATATGTTAAACGGGGGCACGGGTGGCCCAGTCGTCTAAGGCGCCGCGATTCGCTGTGCAGGGTTGAGTCCCTTGGACACGCCAGAAACCTATGATTGTAGGTTCGAATCCCGGTTCGACCCGATTATATTCTAAGTTTGTCAGCACCATACCCTTGCTCCTGGGTTTCACCGAAGTGGTAAACGTCGGAGACCTGCATCACGTAGGGCTTTCCTCCCACATTAAACTGACACGCCGTAATATAACTGAAATAATGTTAAAAGCGGCGTAAAACCCATTTCAGAAATTTGTTTTGTTTAAGGTTCTAATTTTGAATCGATATTGTCAAAGCGACCGATTCAGGGCAACCTTTGTCCGAATGAATATTTAATTCCAAAAGCTAATTACATCGTAGCCATGACATCACTTAATTGTCATTATTTAAATGACGCTAATCGCCATTGTTAATCCTCATCACCATTCCATTGTATATTGACTGTCGGACAACCTGTGCTACGATGTCACTTCTCATTGATCACTGTTATTCATATTATGGCATTATTAGCCTTCATCGATTATCCCATTGTCTGAGTCGATAATCACTTACGTATCCATCTTAAGTAAAAATTAGTTGTCTATTTGTCTATCCAATGTTGTCCATTACCATATACGTATTTACATTCATACTGTAGCTGTTGTACGGACGATCGCGAGCAGGATGTGTCGCTCGCAGAAAACGCCCTGAAGTTGAACTCATGAATGACTGAGCTGGAAAGTCCGTTCATCGTTGTGTTCGTGTATTTCTTATTGACTGTTTAAATGTTGTGCCTTAAACTTCCGGAACGGTGATGCCGATGCCATCCTTGATTACGCCAAGAGCTAATTCCACCGTCGACATAGTCGTTGGCAAAGTCTTTCAAAGTGTAATCTGGAATGGATGTCGCCTGTAGGCTCGTTAAAGCTGTTTTTTGACTGGCGAATGTCGACTTCTTGTTCACTATTTCAATGGTTGGTCAAAGTAATTGAGTCCCACACTATTTCAGTTATTTCTGTGTGTGTAAGTTTGATGTGGGATGAACGCCCGAAGTGATGCAGGTCTTAGACGTTTGCTTCTTTGGTGACTGCAGGTGTTCACGAAAAGGGATAGCATCGCGCATCATGTTGACAAACGACGTACCATATCAGTAAATTCCTCTGACTGTTCACCATACTGTTTCTTGACAGGTCTTTGATGGCGAAACCTTAAGCCAAAACCTTATTTGTAAGCGGATATGTCTTTCCGCGAACTTTGAATAAATTATATATCTCCTAAATACTTAAGCAATTGAGAAAAGTAGACACAAAATGCTGGAGCTGATTGTATAGTGCTCGACGTCAAGAGGAAATTCACGAGTCGAAAATCAAAAGCATTCCTCTTTCGCTTGGTACGCATGGTGCTATTATTTTGAATGTCTAAGCACAGATCCAGATAACTATATAATAGCTATAATATAAAACAAATGTCGATGAACGTAAACTGTCTCACAGCGCAGTTAGAATTCCAGGCCTCACCTGAATTGACGGCCTGAGAAAGGCGGCCATCTTTAAAATCATTTGACCATGTTGCTGGCCCCATAGCCAAAACTATTCACCTTGTTTAGAGCTGTTAATGTGTCAAAAATCATTATTTTATCTCAAAGATCCAACAAACAGTTATTCCACAATCTCAGATAATTGCTTCAAATATTTTCCAACCATATTTACCTTTAATTAAACCATTGAACTATTTGTTTCTCACTTTTCAGTAGTAATTGGCTTTCATGGCATTCATTTTGTCAGTTCTTCTCGGTAATAGCATCATTAGCACTCTCCATAAACAATACCAAGAAGCAGGCTAAATTCCAGGCATAAAATGGCGGCCATTTTGCTTGGCCCTATAGCCAAAATTAATCACCATGGTTAAAGTTTTATTGTGCCAAGTTTCATGCTTTTAACTCAAAGTGAACAATTCGGCTCTTTTATTACACTCAGTCGCTCCACTAAGGACAATGAATATGGTTTCACAGTTGTTTCTTTGATTTTCAACTTTGGTAGATAGATGAGCTGAAGATATATAGACGACTAAACAAGTCCCCTCAGATACCGTTTTTATTACAACGAGTGTATTTCGTTTGTTAGATACGTTTTGAAAAACACTCGTAATAATAATGTCATAGCGACTGATTTACGACAACAATTGTCTGAATGAACATTTAATTCCGAAGGCTAATTACCCTGGGGCCATGACAAATATATGCCTTGAAACACTGAATTGCCGTTATTTATAATATGATGCTCACAATTGTTAATCCCCATTTGATTGTACATCGACTGTCTGCCATCCTGAACGAGATGTGCAAGTATGTCACTGATGTATTATCGTTTACATTTATTCATCACTTACTAAATGTCAGGGGACATTGGCTATATAAGCCTTGGTCCAGAGAAAAAGAGAGAGGGAGAAGATAGAGACAGGGAGAGAAAGGTCTTACCCTTAGCCTAGCTAGGGTAAGGCTGGGTGCTCCGGGGCACCAAGACAACAACCACTACCACTATGTGTTGACCCGGCACATGGTGTCTTCTGTATGTATATATATACATGTATAAAATAAAAATGTTTATACCGCAAGCCATCGACTCCAAGTTGTCCTGATGTATTCACAAAAAACACTCTGGTTACATAATAAACCAGCAGTTTTAGTTCGTAAACAGCCCAAACCGAAATCGGCTGCATGTCTTGTTGTGCATGAACATTGATATAAGCCCAAGCATGAACATTGTTGACATTTCTATGCATACACTTTAACAAATTGTTCCTGCTGATGTGTGTTCAACTGAAGGGTATTGAGGCCGCCCAGTATCCCCTTTGGACCATCAACATTATTCCCTTTCCTCGATCTATCAGCCAAATTTACACCCTGTCCGTACCATTTTGGAAAAGGGAATCCAGAGAGCTCATCAAACTAGTTCCTGTTCACTGTACGACCCCCAAATGAAGAGTCCAAAGGCAGCTTCAATTAACGAAGGGCACCATCACCCTCAGAATAAGAAAAGATAACCATGATCTACACGTTTACACTGGACATCAATATATCAACACGGTATGATATTGTTCACATTTGGGATAATTTGGGCCAAAAAATCAGAAGTCACGCACACTTCCACGGAGTTTTCGTATGACTTGTATCGATGATATTTAGTTTGACTGATTTTCTCGAACAGCCAAGGGCGTTCATTCATTAACAAACACTTTCGGAAACAATGCCACACAGTGCGATATAGCCGGAGCATCCAACGCAAGCTAGTTGCAAATATTTTAAACTCACTTCATTTCGCCATGCTGAAACTAAATCAAATTGAAAATCGTGAAAGTAGTCGGGTGCATCACATTCATATGGACCCGAACTATCAAAAGTCTGTAATTGAGTTTGAATTTTTTAGCAGGGGTCGCTATTTTAATTGAACTAAAAGCTGGAATATTGCTGAGTGCGGCGTTAAACAACAAACAAACTAATTAAACTAAAGCAGTCACACACTCCTGTTCGTATGCACATTGTAGCATATAAGCTGGGAGAGGAGCACAGTTCGTACCCATAGGGATAGATTCTACTTGTATGATGTTCTACCCAAAATTTGAAGATATTGTCAATCGGGAAATCCAGCAACTCTCATATTTGAGTATCTGGATATTTAGTTGTGTTACTTACGGTCTGAACAATTTGACCACATTCATTACAAATTGTAATAAATAAATTACGAACCCCTTTCTTGGAAACAATAGCTCTATTGATTAGAGAATGTAGGTATCTTCCAATTTATTGCGAGTTGTGTAAAGGGTTGAAGAATAAAAAGGATTTTCAACTTGAAATCTTTTCCTGGTGTGAGATTGTACATTTTTATTAATTCTAAAGATTCCATTTCATTAACTCCAAGTCTCCCATATATATTCTCTGACACTATTTAATCATTTACTATAATCATGTGTTTAATAAGTTTCAGTGTAAACACATTTATTTCTATAGATAAGACAACTGCTCATAAACAAATGGATGTATGTACTATAGACCTGAGGACTCCTTTGTACAGAAACAATAAACCAATATTGATTGATTGACCAGGTTTATTGGGCTGACAAACGAAGGGACATAATCAGGTGAATCTGTCATTCGAACTAACGAGTGATGTTTTTAACACGCTTAAAGAACACAACTCTGCACGGCGATTAACGGTGCTTTAGGAAGTCATGTATATTTCTACTTCAGGGCAAACGCCTCAGTCCCAGTACAGTAGTTATTGTACAATTATACTGATCAGTGGACAGGCAGGGGCGAAGCTCCTACAGCCAAGGATACATTATTTTAATATGCATAGTTGGTTACCGTTGACACAATCAATTTGTTTGTATTAAGTATATCAACAATTTTAAAATTTTACCCCACAGATCCAAAGCTATAGACCTACATGTATGCATCAAGTGTGTGTATCTTTCTTGGTCCTTGTGAATCAGATTGAGATTTCCATTAAACGTACAATGAAGTCATATTTCAGATGTATGCGGTTAGGCTGTTTCCCCGGGAGTCTCTCAGGAAAGTTGATCACAACAACACCATCCACCACAAGCTGTAAAGTAAAAACATGCACCGTTTTATACTAGTAGACAATTTGCTTTAATTGTGGTTACAGAACCACATTTCATTTTACCATAGCGTTTTATATTTGTTCACATTATGACGCTTCTGTGAGTATGTAGGAATGTCAAATGATATCTACAACACCAGTGAAAGTCGTTCAGAATTGTTCCAAACAATAAAACATCATTACCATTGCATACTCCAAGTCTGATCATACCTTATACTCTCCGTCATTCAGAGATATTTGGATCTCAGATTCCTTTCCTACAGTTAAAGGAAGCGGTCGTATCTCCTCAATACCCCAACGATGGTGAAACTTGCTGTTGATAACTGTCACGTTCCTTTTCAATCCAAAGTTAAATCTGAATTCTGAAAGCAACGTCACGTCCTCACCTGCCTCCAGCGCCACGGAACACCTGTAACAAAACCAAACTGAGGTAGAAATAAAACAAAGGGACAAACTATAACGATAGAGGTCCTCCTGGCTCACTAGATTTGCCAAACTTTAAAGTGTATGGAAAGTTGAAAATACGTCCTGGAAATCTTTTGTCTTGTGACTGATGTTTTGATATTCCTTTGAGTAGTGTCATGTCTTGAACACATGCAGGTGAACGCAAATATATGTGAAAAAGAGTAGTTAAACAGTTTTGGAGGGACACTGCAGTTGTTTTAGGCAAATTGTGTAAATACCAGGTGCTATCGGAAGGGCAGGACATGGATTCACTTTTCGCGAACACCTGGTGTTATCACTGGTTATTAGATATCCATTCATGTCATTTTCATTGCTGTTTTGCCTTTAAACCTATGTCGGTTGATAAACGTGAAAAGCGATGTGCTCACTGTGGGGCAAAACAACATATACCTCAACTATCAAAAACTTTACAGACTCCTTATTTATTTGTTTAATTCATTAACTCAAAAGAACTGTAGACAACAATACGAAATCAGTGACATCGTTCATCGCAATAATGCGACACTTCTGGCCCGCCCATAATTTTTCAGCTAACAAGGTAATAGTTGTTCATTAGAGGGCGAGGTGGTTTAGGGGAAAAAATATAAAAAACGTGCTTGGTTAGCCAATTAAATGCCACAGAATTTCTTGCAATTTGTTCATATTCAGATGTCTGTTATAAGAGAAGGAACAGTATCCGTTTTATTGTGTTTCACATGTCATGATGACTATTGATAACACCATGCTGAGTGAGTGAGAGAATGAGATTTAACGTCGCATTGAAAGGTTTTTCAGCCGAAAAGGTCTAAGCCTAACAAACAAAATCAACATTTGTATTTTTCAAAATAATCTCCCGGCTTTTCAATACACTTCTTATATTGATAGTGAAGCTTTTCAGTTGCCGTCAGTTAAGCCATCCATTGTTGTCGTCATTCCGCTTTCCACGAAGGTGTTCTTTCTGTTTAGGAAACAGGTGGAAATCACTTGGGCCTGATCTGGCGAGTCTGGAGAGTGAGGCAGCCCTTCGAACCCACATTGTCGCACAGCAACCTTTGCAAGTCGAAAGTAGTGAGAAGAGGCATTGTCATGAAGTAGTAGAAGTCCAGCAGTCAGCATTCCTCACCGCTAACAGGCAATGAAGACAATCGGCATGGTAGGCACCGGTAATCGTCTTTTGACTTAATGGACAAGGATCACACCCTTTGCATCCCAGAATACAGTGACCATAAGTTTCTTCACTGACCTTGAAGACTTGAATTTCTTTGGTGCCGGAGAAGTGGAATGGTGCCATCCCATGGACTGACGTTTTGACTCGGGATCATAGTGGTAGACCCATGTTCCATCACCCCTTACTTATCTTTTTTGAATTAGCACTAAGTTGTCTCTGGCAATGTCACTTCTTTTTTCCTTAAGATCAGAATTTAGAAACTTTGGCACCCTACGAGCAGATATCTTATTCATCTGTTAATGTTCATGAATAATAGTTTCAATGGATCCATGACTTAGACATGTGTCTTCCTCAAGTTCAGAAAATGTGATATGTCTATCTGACAGTATACGTTTTTCTATCTCCTTGAATAGAAAATCCAATGATTGAATCTTCATTGATCGAAGTTGAGGGATGTAACATTTTATATTTCCAGTACCGTTCCGTGATAAAGGATTTCACCAAAGTAACAAACCTTGGAGCAACTGAAATACTGTTTGAAGCATCGTAAACACACACACACATACACACACACACACACACACACACACACACACACACACACACACACACACACACACACACTGGAAGCAGATCATTAGAACCCCTCATTACCTGAAAGCTGTGGTTGGAGTAGCCAAGACAACGACATTGAACTTGCTTTGTGGTCCACATGGCAGATCATACAGGTTGTCCAAACTCTGCAACAAAAAGCAAATAGTGGTGGTAATTATAGATGACAAAACACACTATCCTTCCATCTGCATACCACTGATCTCCAGACTTTGAATTGTTACTACGAATATCCGTAATAAATGATTCACTCAAGTGACACACGCAAAGCTTAACCAACTGGCACATAATCTAAAACCAATGATAATTTTCCACTGTGGTTGTGACAAAATCAACGCAAACAAGAATTTTAGGTGGCTCTGAAATATCAATATATTCCGGGGACAAGGTATATTTTAACAGTCTTAATGTTCAACGTCAGCATTTACTCTTCGATAAAAACCAGTATTCAATAGGTTTCAGTGATACCACAAGTTGACGCACACAAAAAATAGAGCAGTTCTCCGTAATTTTGGTTCAGATTCTTGAAGTATGAAGAAAGACAGAAAAACAAGCGTTATCAGATGCAGTCATTCCGCAGAAGGGACCTGTGTCATTAGATCCCTTTTTAATACCTTAACGTTGAACATGTGACAGGTTTGTTAATTCTTTGGGAAATTACCTGTTCTGTGATATCCTCCACTGTCATTATAGGCAAAGTAAAATTAATGTAAACGACCTCTGAAAATTAGGTACATAAGACATCTCGCCCTTTTTGATACATTACTAAATCAACATTCACGGCGTTATTTACTGTATGTTTAGAAATCTAAATATCGGATATTTACTCGGAGAATTGAATTTCAAAACTAGCATATCAGTGATCACGGGTATCTGTTTTTCATCAATTCACCCTTGATAAATCTATAACGTCGCCTGTAAGCCTAGACGCTGCTGAAGAAGAATATTTTGCCGCTGTTATGTGTATGTTGTGTGTTGTTATGGTGTGAAGGCAGCTTCCCGTTAGGCAAAGGAATATATGGTCCTGGGATTGTCTGCAGATGAGGCACCATCCTAGTGCCTACAATACTATTCTCCACAGAGAAAAGAGAGCAGTTGAACAGAGAGGATTCCAGCGCCTATATAACCTATCTGAGAATGTTTAGGTAAAATGGGTTTTAACGTCGGGTCCAAGATTATTGCACTTATATAGCGACGTGCATGCACGTGTGTGTATGTGGCTGCTTGTACCAGTCCGGACTAATGCCGACTTTATAGTACACTGAGATACCATGCCGCAGTAAAACATGAATACCCCACTCAGACACAGTATACCGACACAGGGCCGTTCTTGTTTTAGCCAATTAATGCCGAGCGTCAGGCAGAGTAACAACAATTACCATCTGTTAAACGTTTTATGATTTGAGCGGCCGGGGATTCAACCCACGACCTTCGCTCTCCAGGCGGACGCTCTACCTCTTGACACGACAACAGAGGTGAACCTATCTTAGAATGAACAGGGGAACGTTCTCAGGTTTCTTCTTCACTCAAAGGCAGGTCACGAGACTGAGGGTGTCTTGCATTCTGATTGGCTACGTTCATGTATCAGCATCGTTCCCTCATAGCTACTAACATAAGCAAACATGACGTCTGATTGTATGGGTACGGCTCTGTTGACACACGTGATTAAGCGTACATTTAGAGGAAAATCTAGAAGATAACATGCGCCAGGTTCCACATGCACCTTCAGTAATACTTGGGCGAATCATGAGTGTGAATGAAAGAGAGGATCTTGTCGAAACAAGCAGTCAGCTGTATTCCAGTTATATAACGGCCGCTGTACATAACCGAGATCAGGAAAACCAGTGTGTGAAAGCATGACTACCTATCCATTCCATTCGGGTACGAAGTCACAGAGCCTGAAATCACGATCCAGATCAGGTTTCTGGGAATCAGTTCTACCCCGGCATCCAAACGGGGTATAGTGTTAATGGACCAATTACATGTTTTACGTACATCGTTGTTACAGAATAAATAACAAGAACGCTCAAGTGGAAAATCATATCCTATCAACAGAACATCATTTTGTCAACTTAAACATGATCTCTTATTTCGATTGCGATGGAAAATGTTGTATGGAACATCATTATACGTACCGGATTCCTCCATCTGAACTTTCCGCAGAGACTTGCCACATTCTCCCACTGTCCAGAGGCTTGACAGACACTGGTGTTTCTCTGATGACAGAAGATGTAGTCCTTCTTGCATGAATACCTTGCCACAGCACCCTGGTAGAGTCCGTCATGGGTCACGCTGGCCCCGGATACATCAGGAGGATGCCCGCAGCCCCGAAACTCTGTGTAGATAATCACATTCATCTGCGGTTTACGTCGATGAAGTTCCACGACTCAAACAAATCCAAACCCTTCCCTAACACCAATCACCAACGAAAGACTTATAACGCTTCCTTGGTAGCCTCATTTTTAGTCTTTGTCATTAATCCGATTTTTTAAGATAAATATATCAAAATTTCTCCTTTATTGGTTTACGAATTTCGACTTTTCTCTCGTTATTTCGATTATTTAAGTGTATACCTGACAACATACCTGAAACACATGGGCTGACAAATAAGTTACGCAACTGTGTATGTCTCGTTGCCCATGCAAATAATCAGTTACAACATACCTGAAACACAACTTGCACGGCCATGTCGATCTACTTGACAGCTGGTGGTCAGGGGACATGACATTCCTAAACAGGGACCAGCGAGAGTCTGGAAATATAACATACAAATGCACTTCTCAAAGTTGGGGGTGGAAAAGTTATTCAAACATAGACTGAAGCCATTTAGGCATTTGGCCAATAAATCCAACCAAGAAAACAATCGGATGTTCAAGACGTTTATTGAAATATTCTTAACAATCTTCTTTGTTTGGCTCTATATAGTGATAGAAACAGATAGTACACAGCACGTCATGTGTTTAAATCACATACGCTCTTGCCTCTAGTTGTGAATGAGCGACGGTGGCCTCAAGCCCATGGGTTACATGGGGTAAATAAGAATAAGATACATAAGAGAAAAACTTCTTTATTACAATTATGAGTGACGTTTTGGTGTAGGTTCTAACAAGGTTTATCAAGCACGTGAACGGTGCTTGATAACGGTGAAAGAACCAACACTGAAACGTCGCTCCTAATTGTAATAAAGAATTTGTGGTAATTCCGGTGAACTGCACATTGAGAACAACGTTCAATTTACCCTAAACAAGTGACCATAGCTACAATTCAGTGAAAGCAGTTTTGAGAAGATTGAAGAAGTAATTCTTGCCAAAACTAAAGAATGACAAACCTTGGGCCAGTGTTGGATATCACTGAAGTCGAACCCAGATCTTGGAGAAATGCTTACACGAGCACTGCTGTTTCTGTTTAGAAGGCATGTACGTGTCTTGTGTTCAAAACCAAAGGAGAGACATACAGAGGACGCAAGGCATTCAGACGCACAGTCATACAGAGACGGACTCCCGAGCTTCCTGAACGCCTGATGTTCCATGTACTTGTCATGTTGTATTGCAGCATCGAAGCAGTTCTGACTATTTACAAACCTAACTATTCCACAAAGAAGAAGCAAAACTTCAGCACGGTCGGATAAAAAAGCTATGCTCAGTGTTGCCATTCTTCGACTATAATGTGTGAAAGATAATTCCTCAGTTTCAAACCGATCTTCCAAGAAATACGTAAAGGTTTCAAATGAATACTTTATTAGTCCTAAGTGAAATGTTGTTCTTGGAAAAGTGCAACACAATTAGCATTTGCCATTTTTGTCAAGTATCCCAAAACGATTAAATTATTAATACGATAATGGAACCATATATCTTGCTTTTATACGTACGCTGTACAAGTAATTCAATATATATTTGCCTTAAGTTATAAATGATTAAACATGTAGCATTAAGTTGTAGAAATGGCAACAGTCAAGTTGTAACATATATTTTCCATTTCAGCGTTTGTTTCTGTTCAAGGAGAAACAGAATAAGAGAATATTTTCACAATACTTGTTATCAGGGCATCCATCAAATACAGCAAACAATTTATTTATTTATTTGGATAAAAATGTTGATTGTATTTTCTCAGTGTAAAGTTTTCAAGAACTCTGTCGAAAAAAGTAACTAATTCTCCCCATAAATGATTGCAATTTCCAATGTTAATGTCACTGTAAAGTAATTTATAAACAGTGCTTGATATTGTGTCATTATAGATTGTTGTGTATGCGTAAGTAATAAACAAATATTTTCTTTCTTTTTTTTTATTGGTTTTTGTTTTAACTGCTGGAAATTACGATGGAGGGAAAGTGGGTAATATTGTTAAATGCCTCAGACAGCAATATTCAAGTTATATCACAGCTGTCTATAAATAATCTATTCTAGGCCATATTCAGAGCAACATCCCACGCCAATGAGGTACAATTACACACAGGAAACCAAGTCACCCAGCCTGACCAAGCTATACATTTTCGTCTTAACACAAGCATCGTCACTGGAGACCTATTGTAACCAAGCATTTCCACTGGAAGATCAGTGTACGGAGTGATATGACTGAATCACTGGATGTAAGGACATCCTTGTTTAATGCTTCGTGTGGAAAATGCCCCGGTCAGGAGACATTAGAGAGTGACTTTATACCACTTTCAACAGAATACCAGCAATATCTCGGCGGGGAACACCAGAAACTGGCTTCACACATTGTAACCATAGAGACTCGAAACAAGGCCTGTCTGTCTGTCCCACTGGCATCAAGTAATTTTGTTGTTTTTCTGAGTGGTTGTAGTCAGCACGATGCTAAACAATGCATATGGAATCCCGTTAACGCACATGTTTCCATAACCATTCTTGGGTAGTGAAATGCATAGGGCTTGCATAAAAGTCAACTTTTGCTGGAATGCATGCTTTTCTGCAGCAGTTGCGTTTGTGTGACTTGATTCAATACATGTACTACAATATTGAAAACCAAACTTTACTTGTTTGAAAAATACACTAAAATATTGGTGTCACAGGAACTTTTGTTCCACAAATCACACAGTTTAAGTAAACGAATCAAACATCAGCAGTAAAGCACGAGGTTTTAGTTTGTGTTTTGTTGAACAATGAAATCAGCAATATTAAAGCTGCATGTCGGTGGTCTGTAAATAATCATATCTGAAACTGACAGCCTAGTAATTGACGTTATGAGCTTCTCTCTGTTCTGAGAGGTTGTAGGGGCGTCTGGTTGATACAGTGTTTGCATTCTGTTAGCGGTCCACGTCCTCCCTTAGAAACAAGGGTGAGCATGCAGGACTGGACTTCGAGCAAGCCCCCTGCTTCTTCCCAAAGGCTGAGAGAGCAGTGGCGTGGAGAGTATATGGTCCCATCTTTGCTTGGCGTCTCTCTGTGAAGGTTCTGTAGTAGGAGATCCGGTTTAGCATTGGTCTTCAGCAACCCATGATTGACGTTAGAGGCGACTAAGGGGATCAGGTGGTCAGGCGGTCAGGCTCACTGAATTGGTTGATGCATGTCATCGTATCCAAATTGCATGGATCGATGCTCATTATGCCAACCATTGGGATGTCTGGCACTGACCGCCGTCACATGGGTGCATTGTTGCTGAGTGCAGCGTTAAACAACAGCAGCACCTTTCTGGCTGGGAGCTTCACCCCCGAGTGCCATGTTCTACCTTCAAGTTAGGATTAGCATCGATACACTGCTGCTTCCCGTTTTTTGCCGTCGTTCCAGTGCGCTGATCTGGGCCCATGCAACAGACCCTCCCTCATCCCCTCAAAATCACTGATAGATCCAAGGGTAAAGTGAGAGATAGTACTGCTAGTATGAGAGATGTCACAATAAGGATGTTGACCAGACTGTTTTCGGAAGTCCAACTTCCGATTTGCTGTGGGAGTTTACACGTTTAGCCAGGGCAGTAGGGTTGGGAAGGATCTTTCCTTCGCCAAGAAGGGCAGCCAGCCTAGATAGACGAACCCCCTCTACCCTAAGCATCTGGTTTCAGTCTTCAGATAGCAGCCTTTTACCCCGAGAAATGTTCTAACATGTGAAGGCCAGGAGCCTTGACTTTGAGAGGCCAATGGAGGTGCTCGCCGTTGGGACATTTGATAAGCATTGGGAGTTTGTCCCCAATTCTCCAGTCTTGGTCAGGTCACAGTTTAATAAAAACACTTCTGAATTATAGACTGCAAGAAAAGGGCATACAATGTGAGGCATATGTAATTTGTTTCAGAAACAAATCCAAAGGTTGCTCCCTTAGTTTCCACGGGCACCTGTACCTATCTAACGACTGACTGGAAAATCGATCACTCTGCTCACTGCATTATATTACACTCATATATACATGTACATACACTGTATGAAGTAGATGTAAGAAGTACCTATTTACAACCTGCGTCAAAAGGTCATGGCCCCTCCAGTTTATGAGGAGAATTATCGGCTCAAAAGATTGGTGTCCACCACACGAACCAAGTAATTTTAATACTATTCAGAACCCCAGTAGTCGAAGTGGTAGCAAACTGAGAATCATTAGACACTCACTCATTGTGTTCATATTAGAATCCATCTAGTGAGACTTACTTGTAAATACGAACATATCTCACGTCAACATGTCATTGACAATGTACATATAATCAAAGACCACAAGCATAAACATTTTCAGGAAGTATATGTTGTCATTTGAAAACTATCCCTGTCAGTCCTCACATCCGATCCAACTCATAGATCCGCCAATGACGTACTCAATCTAAAGAGGTTTTATAAGTTAATGAGGTGACGATATGATACATTGGAGAAGCAGTTCACCCTGGAATATATTAATATCATGTTTTTATTTGAAGTTTATGCGATATACAGCTTTTCAATTGGACGAGTAATCGGTCACCTCGTTCATACGTTTTTCACGAGACCGTGTTCTTGAAATGACGTAAACACTGACGGACTACTTCCACATTCCTGGGAAAACCCTTGGGACGTCCCAAGAACGAATACGTACAGAAGCGTTCTTTCGGATCATTTAGACCCTTCAATCTTGAACTCAGCGTTTTAGAATACATTGAGAAACGCCAGAGAGTTTGACTGCACCTTCGTTCACGAATATACTCGCTACGACCCACCCTGGTGAACAAAACAAAGAAATGCACATCCAAACTATGGTAGTATCGACTCGATCCGTGTCTAGGCTAACAGTTGCAGTCTACAGCAATCTATGAGTTAACCTTAGTGTCTTTTTGATACGTCTTTAATCGCCTTTCAATGATCGGTCAATTGATCAATGATGACTAAAACATGTAACCACCATAGGTTCATTAGCAACTCGCGAAATCTCTCCCGTCACGTTTATCGTGTCGGCCATTTTGACGTCTTGTACTTGACATAAATGTATTACGACACGCTGTCATTGTGACTGACTTACTGAGGCAGTTCTTAACAGATCTGTCTCATCTCCTATTGATATTATTTGAATACATGTGTTGCGTAAGATGTTTCTGAAGAGTAAGTTGTGCATCCATACGCTCATGTCACCACTATTTTTGAGGAACTATTTTATTCCACGATACAGCTGGTTGTTGTGTGTCTGTCAGTGTAAACATGAAATCGCATATACTTAACAAAATTGTGTGTAGATCTTGGCCTACATCCTTTGAGGTAAGAAATTGTGATAAAAAAATTGTCGCAAGCTCCGACGTTCATACAGTTTGACCCTCACTCTATGAAGGTTCATACTCCAATGAACTCACAATAAGTGAAAGTCAAATCTAAAATGAACTGCACATGAAACAATATGCCCCACAATAAGCAATTTGTTATTTAAGTTACAACGTTATGAATTTATCCTCAACAAGTTAGATACACGACCATATCTGTGACTCAGTCAAGCACAATTTGGTGAAGCTTGTGTTTGTTTGTTTCCAATCTCATTAAAATCAGATCTAAGTTCTCATTGCCACTAAACAAAGATCTGACGACATCCCATTACGGGTCACGTCATAACGACCTTTCGCGAACTTTGACCGACCACTGGAAAGACTAACAAGAAATCGACATCGGCCAATTAGGAAGCAGCTTTCTCGAGCTTTACTGCACTCGTTTCAACCTGGCGACTTCCATTTCAGACTACTGCTGACACAGATCTCGATTAAAATTACGAAAACTGAACAAACGAACATTCCGGATTGTCTTATATAAGGTTGAGATTTTATGGCAGTGCTTCCCACATATACCGTGCAACGCCTTCTCCGTTCAAATGTTTCTCCGTCTGAAGCGAGAGATAATCAGTCGTACGGGCCGTAACTATCGTTTGGAATACCCCGTGTTAACGCATTCGAGTTCGAGATATCATGATTAGAAAACACATTCCATCTGTCACTTTCATGATCTGGTAAGCGAGCTTTGATTGGTCGGATAAAAGGTGGTTCTGACGTGACCCGTAATGGGATGTCCTCAGATCTTTGTTTAGAGATAGCGAGAACTAAGATCTGATTTTAATGAGATTGGTTTCTTTGTTTTTTTGTTTCTTTCTTTGTTGTTGGTCGCCTTTTACGTCAGACCCGTGAAGATCCGGGATAGAATAGGTCTTCAGCAACCCATGCTTGCCCTA